AAGTTCTGAAAGTAATTTAGTAGAAAGTGAAAATAAATAACTTTGTTAAAGATATTTCTCCTCACGTTTCAAAAGGAGAGAATGCCTTTATTCTCACCTCTTTTAAAAACACTGCTCCAAATGATCATCTAAGTGAAAAGAAACCTAATTTTAAAAAATTATATAAGAAACAGAAAGTGGAGAAAAGAATTCCAAACCCATGACCAAAAATGAAGCCCTGGGAATCTTCAGAATTGCAGAATTATTTTAAAATAAAATTCCTATGAATTTCAATTAATTTCAAGGAGGAGGAAACAAAACCTTTGATCAATATTATAAGAGCTGTCTAACTTCAGGAATGCATGGCCTGTGTTATGTGCCATCTCCAACTTTCCTAATTCCAGAATTGAAATCCAATTTCCAATTTGTTGAAGTGTCATGAAACTCAAATTAAAGACCTCTTTGGAGGAAGAAAACGTAGTTATAGAGTGTCTAATTCATGGAGCTACAGAATTTTTCAGGTAGTATGTGTATTTAAAATGTGTACCTCACAGGGAAGCAAATAGCTACAACCAGGGCGAAACAGGCAGAAGCACCACAAACAACATGTTACTGTTTATAAGTCTACTGAAAATTAGCCAAATAACTGTCCCGAAAGAAGAAAGAGACCCAGCTCCTCCACTCGGATGGCTGCCTCCACCAGCAGGCAGTGTGGAGTGCCGTGTCGCTCCAGAACCACGGTTTAATGAAAAAGATCCTGCAAAAACCCGTTGGGTTGGTACTTAATACAGGCTTTGAGTTAGGGCTTTCCAGAAATGCCCAAAATAATGTGGACTACGACCCACTGGCTTGACTACAGCCACCCTGAACTCTGAGAACTGCCGAGAAACAGGCTGAGGTTCCTAAGTGACCACGCAGAAGAGTAAGTGGAGAATAACAGAATAAAGGAGAATTCATGAATGAAAAGGGAAGGGAGCAAACAGAAGGGTCAGATGTGTGCGGGGGACAGGGCCTTAAGGAAAAGGGCTCTGGCATCCAGGGCTATGTGTCCACCAGGTAGATAACAGACCACCACCGCTCCTCAAGGGGTCTTGACAAGATCTAGACAGGAAGGTGATTGCCTTTCTAGTGTTTACTCCCTTCTCACGGAAACCAGGGAGAAGAAACAGTCTATTAAATATTGAAACAGGGGTGCAGTCACCAAACTATGGATCACCGAAATCTCTAAGAGGGCCCCCTGGTCCCATAAATGAGCATGTCATATTTACATTTTTAAAAAAAGTACAGTGACAGCCGTACATTAAAATGCACTGAATAGAGAGGTATAGGTGTGGTGGTCCCAGAATTCTGGGAAGCAGAGGCAGGGGGATCTCAAATTCAAGCCCAGCCTGGGAAATTTAATAACTTAGTGAGACCCCACTTAAAATTAAAATATAAAAGAAAAGTTGGGAGTGTAGCTCACTGTGGAGGCCCTGGGTTCAATCCCCAAATAATAATAATGCACTGACAGGATTTAAATCCTGATTTAAGCAAATAGGGAGAAGAAGAAAGGAAGGAGGTAAAGAAGAAGGAAAATAAAAGCAGACAGTAGAAATGTATATCCATTTTTGAGAAAAGATCTCACTCTGTAGTTCAGGCAAACTTTAAACTCACTATGTAGCCCAGGCTGGCCTTAAACTTAGACAATCCTCTTGTCTCAGCCTCCCAAGCCTGGCTTATGGGCAACTTTAAACACAAACATGTATTGCTTTAAGCCATGAAATTAGAAACCCATGCTAAAAAAGACATGACCAAAGAATGAGAAATAACAAAAAGAGTTACAGATTCTGGATTCAAACAGATTTGGGTTCTGGTTCCAGATCTACCACATCTTGCAAAATGTGCGAAAGCAACTAATCTTTTTGATTTGTGAAACAAGGGGTAGTAATGGCTGAGTCTGGGGTAACTGTTGGGAATCAAGGAGAATACATCCTTAGGTGCTTAGCACACTGCCTTGCACAGAAGGAACAAGAAGCTGGCTAGCAGCCATGGCTTAGACCACCGTGATCAGCAGTGTTTCTTCTAAAGCAGCCGCCTCCTCCACACTCCAGCCAGGAGAAAGAGGGAGCTCTCGCCAAAGAGGCTGAATCCACATCTTCTATTAGAAGGCAGATGGAGGGAGGTTCCAGGCACAATGAGCTGCATTTTGAGCCAGTGTTTGCATTTGGCATCTGTTTCCATCTTTTTCAGCCTGAGCCTACACCATCCACCGCCTGTCCCAGGGTGGGACAGCACACTGAGGCCAGGGCAGGAACGAAAGGATGGATGGACGTGCACAGCACAGAGCCGGCTCACGCATGCCCTGCCGCCTTCACAAGCAGGCCTGGAAACCAGACACAAAATGGGGGCGTCCATGTGGAATTCATATGTCAGGGTTTCTCCCTCTCTTCAGCCCAAAAGCACAAAGAGAGATTGGTTCTAAACTGGCAGCCTTTCTTTCATTTGTCATTATGTTTTACACACAAGGAAATTTTAATGTCTAAAGATGGGAGGTGATGATAAGAACAGAGTTACACATGTTCTTTTGGCAGCCGAGTCACCGGCACTTAAATTCACTTCTGACAGTTCTCAGAATCGAAAGACCTGTAAGTACTGAACTGTCATCTGCCTATCCGTGAGAGATTTCATTTTGGCAGTATTTCAAAAGTAAAATCGCTTGCTTTTTTATGCATATTTTCGCCACCACAATATTTCTGTAAGCCATGTACAATCCTGTGCTCCCGAGAGACAAATACAGAGTGAGCGCTGCCGAGCTCGGAAAGGAAAACCACCCTTGTTTCTCAACGGACAAGTATAAAGATTTCAAAGTCATTTGCGAAAATCTAGGATTATGGCAGAATGGGCCATAGATCCCTCCAACAGTTTGGGCTCTGTGATTACAAAAGGCAGTTAAATTGGATGATTTCCGAACTACTTAATGGTTAAAACACTAATAGTCCCATGAAGGAGACACAGAAGGCCGTCCTATTAGGTAACAGTGGTTCTCCTCTGGCAAAGCTGCTCACTACCAAGGCGCCCGACACAGGAACAGGAGGGGGACGACCACAGGCAGTGAGCAGGAGAATGAGACCTGCTCAGGGCAGGAGACGGGGAGAGGGCCAGTCTGACCTGGGCTGGAGCCCTGCATCTGCCACCGACTGCCAAGTGACTCTGTGTGAGTCGCAGTTCCTGTCCTATGAGGGTCGAGACAGGGTGGTGGTCAAGAGGGAGGCCTGGAGGGATCGCAGCTCTCTACTTACCCCAGACCTTTGAATTACTCGCTCATCCTTTCCTTCTGGCCTCATTTCCCTCTTCTGTGTGTCGGAGACCATCATACCTACTCCAAAGGACTGCTTTGGGGACTAAACTAGAAAACATGTGTGCACCGTTCTGCGTGCACAGCCCCTAAATCAAGGGGCTGCCACTCCTGCTTTGGTGACTGTTAGCACTGTTCCTCCTGAAATCACTGCAGACACACTGGGTCGAGGACTCCACGCCGCTCACTGACAACAGAGATTAAGGCTTGTTCAAGGTTAGCTCAGCTTCCAGAGGCCACCACTCTCTTGGCAGAGCTTTGGAGGCCTCGACACATGTGAGCAGGAGTAAGGGGCAAGTAGACGAATGGATGATGAAGGATTCAGTGAACAACCGCCGTGGTTGCTGCTCTTATATCTCAAAGCGCTCTCTGGCCACTGTCAGCGCCGCAAAGGGCACAAAGCAAGGCCCCACCCTGACCTGCTGGCTGCCTGGGGATGCTCCTGAACAGTCCTGGGCATGGGCAGGGCCTACATTCAGGGCATGGAACCACTCTCTAAAGACTCAAGGCCCAGGCCCTTGATGTCTCCAGAACAAGCTTTGTGACTAAGGCAAACTGCAAGGCAGACACAGGATGAGCACAGACAGGAAAGGAGTCAGCTCCGTGCAGCACCATGTGACAATCTGGTGGGTGCCCCTGACTGCCATCCCTCATCTGCTTGGAGAGCAGTAAAACCAGTGTTGCCAACACACAGCCTAAGCACGAACAGTCTTATCACAGGGCAGAGATCCTTGAACCTATGTGCATAATTAGCTCAGCCTTGGCACCAGCTGCACTATGATTAACTGAATGCTCCTGTTTCGACAATCTCATGGAGAAAAAAAAATTAAGTGAATTTATTTATTAATGAAATATTATAAACCACTATGTTCAATGAGACACCAGTATTGCTGGCCTTGCCTTTGAGGCAAAGTAAAAATAAACACTTGGAAACAAAGCACTGCAATTACAGGATAGTTAGTCGCTGTTGCCTTCTGTAGCATGGGGTCCGAGTTTCTGTCTTTCTCCCTCCTTGCTCCCTTCTTCCCCCTTCACTTCCTCTCCTTCTCCCTTTCCTTTTCTTCTCCCCTCTCCCCTTTTCTCTCCCCCAAAGGAAAAGGAAGTTAGCCTATGACAATTGCAAAATATGTAAGTGCCTAATCAAAACCTTCTCCTCCAGGCATTTTGAACCACTGGAAAAAAAAAAAAGAGTAAATCTCCCACCCCGAGTCTGCGTGTGTGGAACCATTTCTGCGCACCACATCTACTCACTGTGGACTTGAAAACACTGGATCCTCTCATACTCTGATTTTCAGGCCCCTGCCATACTAGATAACTGAGGTAATTTGTTCTGGATCCAATTAAAATATATTCGTCCACGTATCTGAGAGGCACTGAGAAAAAGGTCTGCATCCAGGATGCATCTTACAGTGGCCTAGTTTTTATTAGCCACTTTTACTAGTTCCTTAATAGTGTTGTCTCCTTTTTAATCTGGGAAGCTGTTATTAGATTGATGACACATCTCATAAATGAGGGTGACTTAGAGTCAAGAAAATATGGGACACCTTAACAGGGCCACTATAAATGAGCCTCCTGTGTGGACGCCAAGACAACATCACAGCCCTGAGCTCTCCCAATTGTGTTCATCTGATAAAGACATTATGATAGCAAGGAATTATGATCTATAACCTTCCCCTGGAACACTCACACATTCTTGGCCTTGAACGCTTCAGCAAAACGCTGCACGCTACGGAGCAGAGTGAGGTCCAGGGTCATTGCTTCTACCTTGGCTTTGTGCTGGAAGGAGAGAAAAATAAAAAGAAATGATAAATAACAGCAAGTTTAGTTCATGGTATCAAGTTACAGTAAATGTGTTATGGAACATGTCGGAATTCCCTTGTTTAATATTAGACGCCCAGAGAGAATATAAATCACTGGAATGAATGGAAGAACAGGGCTTTTACTGCCAAGTTCAGGAGCATGTGAGGCTGGGACTCTGCTACATCTGCAGGGTGGGGCTTGTGCTGATTCTTACAGTACAGGAAAGAGGCTCTGAAGGGCCTTCAGGCACGTTATCGCCCCTCAATCCGAGTCCCCAAAAGCTACAATGACAGAGGGCTATCACGACAAAGCCTGGAGCAGCCGAGGTTATGGTGGACAGTATTTCAACCATGAGCAGCCATCCAACTTCCCAAGTCTTTCTGCTAAGCTTGTATCACAAATTAAAAGCAATGAATTCGTTTATAGAAAGAACAAAAGCAGGCAAGACTCTTACACCAATGGCTTCTGGCTGGCCGAGTCCTCGAGAGACCCCAGCTGGATAACACAAACAGCTCTGTGGACAGACCAGGTGCTTGCTGATGACATGAGGCTCATGATGGCCACTGTCCACACCAGGTCCACCAGGGGCTGGGTGTCTGTGCACAACCTCTCAGTTACTCTTCACAGTAACTCAGCAACAGGCACTATTTCTTCCCACTCTGAAGGGTGGCATCTTACAAGAGACCACAGAGCTAAGAAAGGGGCAAGGATTGACCCCAAATCAGTCCATCCCTAGGCCCAAGTTCTTGGCAGGAAGCCAGGCCCCCAGAGGTCAGGATTTGACAATATCAAGCTATACTGCCCATAGCCTTCTGGCACAATCCTGGAAGGACAGAGCAAAGCAATGCCCTTTAGACTTGTGTTGTGTTTATGGGCCACTCCCAACTTCTAAACCTGCAGGAGCTTTGGGTGTGACATTAAATACTGTCACTTCTTAGACCTAGTTCCTCCGAAGGACATAAAGTCAAGGATGTCAAGGCCACCTGCCTGCTCAGGTAGAAAGAGTTTCCACAAAACAAATGGCCAACTTGGGAATTCCAGTCTAGACTGGGAAGCTGAAGTAAGACTAAGGAGGATAACGTGAAACCTCTAATGCTACCAAGGGGGACACAAATGGCTCTGCAGAAAACATTCTCCACTCTGCCTTACTTCATGAGCTGTACTGCAATGTTTATTGCATCTGCAGCCCATTTATCTTGGCTGCCTGTGTCCTGGGCTCCAACCCAAGCCCTAAACTTTGAACAATAAACTTCAGGGAGTGGCAGCTGGAAAGTACGTTGACTTTGGACCATTTAACATTTGTGAACCTCAGTTTCCTCATTTGTTAAAAATCTTTGTAGTACATACTGGTACTTAGAGTTGTAAGGTTAAGTGCTGAGTGCCTAACATCGTGTTTGGAAGAGAGAAGACATTTAATACATGTAACTAGGAGGAGACAAGATGTCTATTTTGCCAGCTCCTTGCCTTAATGCCAACTAGCAATAACATGGTCAGCTTAATACACTATAGTAGAGCATGCTTGGTAAAACAATATCCAAAGCTCCTCCCTGAAGACCACACCAGACCAGGTCACTGTTAGATCCTGGAGGATCTAGTTTCAGGGAAAAACTGTATGAAATGATTTGCTTGAACCCCAACAACATCTCTTTGGTGAAAAGAAGATTGACCAATGAAGATATAAATTCCTCATCTTGGGTAACAGGAGCAGATGCTCGAATATGCAAATTTTGGAAGGAAGAAGAGAAGCATCGTCCTGATCCATGAAAAAGAGGAGAGGCCCACACATGAATGTGTATAGAGTTTCCAGTTTTCCGAGAATCACAGAGCTGGGGAGAGGGGTGGTCTATGCCACCAAGATACTCAAAGGTATTTGGGGGAGGCACACTGTGCTCTGAGAGTCTGGACCCCCAGATGAGGAGCAAATTCTTCCAGTCTAAGTACCAATATTTACCTGATGGCTAAAAAATCTCATTAAAGTACAAAGGCAGTTATGGCTAATTTATACCGCACATAGATTCTTGCACCGCCAAACACTCACCTACTTGATCTGGCATTCAGAGTTAGAAAATAAAGTGTCAGTCACCGCACCCTGCCTCCTCTGGCCCTCCTCTCACTTCTCTCAGAGCAAGACACCCGCTGTCACACACTAAATCTTATGGAAATTTGAATGCATCCCCACAAAAAAGCCAGCATTCATTGGGTGGTGCAGGGAGCAGTGAAGAGCTTGCTCCTCTCTGCCAAGCCCCTGAGGGAAACCCTGAGGGGTGTGCAGACTGCGTACTATAAAAACGCATTTACATATTTTCCTGTAAAACAGGAAGAACATTCCCAGGTGGTGACTCCAAAGCAATAGTCCAACAAAAATGACAGCGTGGCCAAATGGCCCACACATTCTTCTCTACATGTAACTTAGAACTTGTGAGCTGTCCGTTAGTTCTTCCCCCTTCACTTTGAAATAAAGCACAGAGCTGCTACTGCCAATAAGAACAAAATCAGAACATACACATCCAGGGGGAACAAGGGATCACAAGCCATCAAGGAGTCCAAACAGACTAATCCACAAGCTGTGGGTTACTAGGCTCCTGGGGATAATGATTCAAGTCCACACACGATTATTCAAGTAATTCTCCTGCCTTGGGTATCAGGTTTCTTGTTTCTGCCTTAGACCCTGAGAAATGCAGAGAAACTGCACTACAGCAAGTCCACGGGAGGGATATCCCAGCCCTTGGAATTAGGACATTAGTGTCCATGCTTATATCTGTATCTGTATGTGTGATGGGGGTGGGATTGTCTAATAAAGTTAGCAGCTTTACAAAAGTGTGTGGCACTGCATAGGTTTAAATGGAAATGTCATAGCGGAAAGATTGGGAGAAAAACCCAGACTGTAGAAGTGGGCTGCTGACTGAGAGATTTGATGTGCCAATGGGTCTTATAGCGAATCTATAACTAGTGATACTTCACTGTCATGGTTTAGCTCAATGAACTTGTTGCTGCTAACTTTTTCTGAAACTAATAATGGATTCACAAGAAAAGGTCAAAATAGCATGGAAAATGCCCTTATACTCATGGTCCAGCTTCACCCAGTGGCACCATCTTACCTATGCATAGTACATTATCAAACCCTGAAAGGTATAATGTAATGTACCGGACCACAGTCATTTTCAGGATTTCGCCAGTTTCAGGATATATTCATTGTCTTTCCTTTGCTCCATATATCTTAGTAGGTAATTCAATGACATTTTGTCATGGGTGCTGATGTGTACAACCATCATCAGATTCAAGATACAAAGCCCCTTCATCATTACCAACAAACCCACAACTTTTTTTTTATTTAAATTTTATTGAGATTATTGGTACATTTTAGGGATACAGTACAGTTACATTCATTGTTGGGATCATGTACCTTTACATGGCAAGTCTTGATTCTCATTTTTTCCCCTTACCTCTGCCCTCCCTTCACCCCCTCCTCCCCTCCCCATCTACAAACACTTTATTTTCATCTTTTCATTCTCTCACATTTTTTTCTTTTCCCTTTTTGTTCTTCCCCTACGTATCACACCTTCCCTACACCTTTAGCTCCTTTCCTCCCATTTCTAAATGTCAGTAATCTTATTAGAATCTTATGCATTGTTGCAGAATATTCACACCAGGGAAACTATTTGGTATTTACACATGTGGGACTTATTTATTTCACTTAGGAGTATATCTTCAATATGTATCCATTTTCCTATGAATGAATCTATTCTCTCGCTCTTTATGGCTGAGTAATATTCCATTTTATAGAAAAACCACATCTTCTTTATCCAGTTTCCAACGGATGGGCAAATAGGTTGTTTCCAAGATTTAGCTATTACAAACTGTGCCGCTATAAACATGGGTGCACATACTTCTCTGTGATATGATTCTTTTAGTTCTCTTGGAAAGATACCCAACAGAGGGATGGCTGGGTCAAATGGAACCTCCAGTCCAAGCTCTTTGAGGTATCTCCATATTGATTTCCATAGTGGTTGCACTAGTCTGCACTCCCACCAACAATGGAGGAGGGTTCCTTTCTCCCCACAACCCCGCCAACATTTGTTATTGTGTGATTTCTTGATAGCAGCCATTCTTTGTGGGGTGAGGTGGAATCTCAGTGTTGTTTTCATCTGCATCTCTCGAATGACCAGTGATGTGGAACATTTTTTCATATATTTTCTTGCTGCTTTCACTTCTTTGTATGAGAAATGTCTGTTCATTTCGGATGCCCATTTTTGGATCGGGTCTTTATATTTGGGGGGACTGATTGTTTTGAGTTCTTTATATATCCTTGATAATAGTCCTTTGTCTGAGGTACAGCTGGTAAAAATTTTTTCCCACATTGTAGATTGTCTCTTAGTTCTGCTAATGGTTTCTTTTGAAGTACAGAAGCTTTTTAGTAAGATGAGATCCCAGTTGTTGATTCTTTCTGCTAGTTCCCGTGCTACTGAGGATTTGTTCATAAAGTCTTTTCCTATACCAATGTCTTCCAGAGTTCTGCCTAACTTACTTTCCAGCAAGTTTAATGTTTCTGTTTTAATATTTAGATCTTTAATCCATTTGGATTTTAATTTAGTGCATGGCGAAAGATAAGGGTCTAATTTTAATCTGTGACAGGTTGATATCCAGTTTTTCCAACACCATTTATTAAAGAGGCTATCTTTCCTCCACTGAGGATGGTGAGCTCCTTTGTCGAAGATGAGGTAGCTGAGTACATCTGCATTTGTTTTTGTGTCTTCCAGTCTGTTCCATTGATCCTCAGGCCTATTTCTTTGCCAGTACCATGCTGATTTTATCACAGTGGCTTTGTAGTATAGTTTCAAATTGGGAATTGTTACACCTGGTGCCATGTGACTGTTGCCTATAATGGCTTTTGCTATTCTAGGTCTCTTGTGGTTCCAAATGAATTTTTGGATTCTTTTTTCTAGTTCTGTGAAATATAGTGTTGGAATTTCAATTGG